AATGCTCGTTATCTCATAATTAGATTCTGAGACCTTAGCCTGGATTTCACAGACAGGGTCACATTTACTAAAAACATCAGTAGATGTTAGCCTGTGCAAATCTGCATTGCTTCAAGTTTCATTATTTGCATACACAATCAAAACAAATCTGTAACCCTTTGCTGAACTGGTCAGATTTAGAATTGGCAGGAAATTAATGAGGACTGAAATGATCATTTTACATACTTCACTTACCAAAAATTCACAGCAAATGCATAAAACACTCAAGCAATCACCTAGAACACCATTTCCATTTTCTTTAGGAAATGACAAATCTAGTTTTACATAGTTTACCCAAGGGTACAAAAATGGATCATTCTGTATCTATGACAATCACTGACTCAGCATCACATATTTCTAAAATGTGAATAGATCAGTGCCAGCTTTAAATAACACGCTTAATAAAGTACAGGTTCCGTGTTTACAAACAACAAGTCAAGTCAAGTCAAGTCACCTTTATTTATATGGGGATCTGTATCTGGGGCTCATCTAGTTGTCCTGGTCTCCGCTGTCTTTCAGGGCTGTGGAGGTCCTTTCTAGGTGCTGATCCACCATCTGGTCTGAATACGTACTTCCAGCTTCCACAGCCTAAATCCAGCAGAGAGGGACAGTACTACTGACAACAGTTCAGCAAAAGTAGCAACTTATACAGCTGATTTAAGCTTTGAAAGACAAGGCCGCAAGACTGCAGTCAGAATAATGTGAGTGGTTCTAGGTCTTGGCTTTCCAGCTTTGGCCAATACAATTCCTGGAAGATAATCCTGCATCACAAATTGGAGCTAAAATTACTCAGCAATAGGCTTCTGAGTGGCTCAGTATACAAAGCTTTAGGTTTCCTGAGGCATTTAGCTGTCTGCAGATTTGAAAAACTTACAGAAAATCTCTCTGAGAAAACACCATTATTTATGACATGTATGAGACAACAGGCTGCAATATTTTTGAAATATGCAAGTGTCTGAGTATGTAGATGTATTTAAGAAATTACTATGTTAAAAATAGACAGAGGAGTTATCTGGGACCTTAAAGGATGTCCTGGCTTTCATTAATGGGCACTAATTAAATATTTATTAAGCGGTCATTACCAGGCAGTTTTATGCTGAACAGGACATCGGTTGCTGTATATGATTATAAGCAATATAGAAAACCAAATATTTATCTAGCTGAAAATCTAGCAGGCTTTTGTTAATTATAGTGGTGGACAAAATACACTGACTATCCCAAAACCTCAACCAATGATTGAGAACTGATTTTCAATGCTCTCGCTATTGTAGCATCTGGACCAATCAAACACACAATTTTTCATTTGATTTCTGAGAGGTCAAGTAAATATCTACAGCGGATCTAAATATTTATAATTAATTATAACTAGTTATGATTAATTATTCATATTTCCCCATGAGCTGATTCGCAACACTATCAAGGCAGCTCGATGTATTTTGAGACACAGCCACTGAGTAGAGGTTTATTCAATGAAATGTTAAATACCAATGTCCCAGTCAAACCTAACCGCAGCTTCTGAAGAAACCAAATACCCTCCAAAGACATCTCGGCTCGGTAACCAGCCATGCAGCCATTACTGAGAAAGTTGAGCCAGACATCAAAAATAGTGTATAAGGGGGAAAAAAACTCTTTGCATATACAGGTCAGTGACGTTTCTTGTCTTGATCTATTAAGTTAATCAAAAATACATTAATTACAAATTAACTTGTGAGCACGATGAACATATTTTCAGTTTCCGATTTTAAACTCATTTTGATATTTTGGGGGCCTAAAGTATTAAAGTATTGATTGCAAAAGAATAAAGGCCTTAATTCTTGAGAAAAAAAAAAGAAATTAATTTTTTTTAAATTATCATTTAATAAAACATTGTGATCACCTGATAAAAGCCAGCATGGCACAACCAACATCTAGAAAGCATCTGTTGTCATGTAACAAAAAAACTATTAAATAAAGATCATTATTATTACCATTATTTAATAAATATAATAGATTTTATATATCTTACCTCTTTATGAAAATGCTTTTATACATCTCAGATGTGGTAATCCTAAAACAAAACTTGATATAAAATGTCTAAATATTTGTAAAGAAAATATTATTACCTTTAAATTTATTTTGATACTTTTTAAAAATATATATGAAACCAAACTGAATAAAGATTACATTTTCTAAATGTAAAAAGATCTCTCCTTCTTTTTCCCCCAGTCATCGACCCTAACGTCTACTCGGTGACATTTTTATTTGTTGGTGTCTAATGTCATCGCAGCTACCCAAAACATGATCCTGACTGTCTCGTGTGTAATTACCTTTTTATACAGTCTATGGTAATTACTCTTGCTACACAGCCAATTACCCATTTGACATGCACGTACTCCATATGACTACATAAAAGTAGGCTATCGGTTAACAGTATGACCAGCAATAATAACAATGGCTATGTTTACAGTAGATATAGCCTAGTTCACCTTGGCTTGGAAGTGTATTCCGTGTTGATACGCTTCTTCGTTGTGAAGCGGGACTCGCGAATCCGCCACATCGTCCACCAGGTTGTACCTGTTTCTCCCGTGCATTTTCATTGGGACCCGTCCAGATGCTCGGCGAGAAATTTCATCAGCCAGTTCCCAAGCTTCAAAACTACTGCCAACTAAAAAGATTGCTCTAGTTTAACCAGCAGAAAACAAGTCGCGGATACAAGAGCGGTTCAAAGCGAGGGAGCCCATTATAGTAGCAGCCCGGGAAAAGCTGAATGAAATCACAGGCGCTTCAGCACAAAAGAAATGGGTTGGGCGCCTCTTTCCCCCTCTCTCAGCCCGCAGACATCAGCTGCGTTTATACAAGTCTGGCTTCGGCTCAAGTTGTTCAAGTGCCTCAGCAAGAAGTTTATTAAAAGAGGCGCTATGGGTGAATTCTGAATCCCAATGACAGGTTTTATTTGCGTTGCTCTCTTCAACCTCTGATGCAATTCTCATGGAGCAAAGTTCTGTCTGCTTAGGAACAACCTTCAGGTCTTTCAAACACCATAGTTAGCATAATAAAAGCAGTACTCCCTTATAGTTCATAGATGAATTACAACACAATACACCCAGTTTCCATGGGCTTTATGCAAAATACCACGTTAAAAAAAAAAACATGGTAACGCTTGATTAGTCCTAAATTTTTGGTGCACTGCATAGCTTACAATTTTTTTATATACATAGCCAATATTTAATAGATTCTGTTGCTCAGAAGATGGTTTGCAGACAGGTTTGGCCCAACTCCACAGTGAAGAGATCTGAATTTACAGAGGAAAATTTTACTGGAGTGATTATGTGGGGAGAATGAGGCTAGTTAGTAGCTACGTTTTACACCAATATTTTTTCAGAGTAGGTTAATTTCTCTCTAGACACACACTGGTTTTTAGTTGCTATACATAAATAAATTATATTGGATATTTGCACCATTATTGCCAAGGAAATCTTAAAAACAAACAAACAAATAAACTATAACAGTCAATTATTGTTTTGCACAAAATATAGTAGTGAATAAAGTGACAACTTCTGAAAATATAGAAACCATAGAAAATCTTAATGGGATACGTCACACAAAAAAGTAAGTAGGTAAATAAATAAATAAATAGATAGATACATAAATACAAATAAAAAAAAAATAATAATAAAATAAAAAAGAAATAAAGAAAGACAGAAAGAAAGAAATAATTTACTCGTCCTCATGTCATTCTAAACATTCTTTCTTCTGTGATTTGAGAACTGTCTCCATACAAGAAATTTGTACATACAAACATTCTTCAAAACCTTTATTCCACAGAAGAAATAAAGTCTACTGGTTTGGAATGACATGAGTGAGTAAATCTCTCTTCATACATCTGTGGGGATGAGTTTGTGTTCAAGTCACTGGGTACTGCAAAACATTACAGAGACTGTTAATGAAAAAAAGTGAGAGCTTCTTTTTTCAATATTGACACAAGTGCTCCCTCTGCTGCATCACAGAGGCATTATGGACACATTATGGGTTTATTTTTGCATTATAGCAAGGGGACATAGCAAATACTGAAAATTTCTGAAAGTTTTTTTTTTTTTTATTCTTGCTGTTAGATTGTAATGGCAGATAGAATAAAAGAATATAAATAAATGAACTATTAAAAATAAAAAATAAAAATAAAGAAATTAGGCATATAAAAGATTACAAAATAGAAGCATTTTCACGAATAGGCTCTGACTTGTGGACCCTACTGTATATACACATACACTGAGAGAGAAAAAAAAACCATGTTCTGTAGCCTTCCACCGTCACAATCCTTCTGCTCACTGATTTTTCACTTCGCGTATAGCGTCCAGTGCAATATGTGGCTGCCATGTGCCCCTTCGGCTTCCGTTAGCTGCGTTGCGTTGTCAACAGGACCAAAACACCAGCAGCGACAACACACGGGAGCTTTACTCCTGGACTGTCCGCTGGCCATCAGCTGACACCTCACCTATCCGCCTGCATTAACTCTGCCACGTCTTAGCAAACAGCAAGTAAACGGAATGCACGCGATGTTTTCATTTGGAGATACGACGTCCGTTTAAAAGCGCGAGAGCAGTCGGTGCACCTCACCGGCACTTTAAAACTGACTGAAACTGACGGGGAATGCGGTGATGCGCCCAGCCATGCCCTGCGCTCGTCTTCCTCATATTTATGCCGCGATATGTGCTGATAGTTGAGTATTGCTTTATAGAGAATGGGATGAATTAGGCGCAATTGCGTTCATATGCCGCTTGTGGTATTATTACAGGTAGTTAAGAACCTTTTTTTTTCCATTAAAAGGGCACCGGACGGACACCTGTCCCGTTAGATCGCCATCAAAAATATTCAGCACACTGTAGTGATGTGTCATTTTTCAGTGCTAATAACGTTCAGACTGCAATCATGGAGTCGGTGCGTCTTCACGCTAGTTTATCTGGCTCTTGTAGTGATGTGTCATTTTTCAGTGCTAATAACGTTCAGACTGCAATCATGGAGTCGGTGCGTCTTAGTTTATCTGGCTCTATAGTTGGCTTTTATAGACTGGTTTCCTGTCTTTGTGCTTTAGTTGGGACAGCAGCAGCTGGTCCACGTTAGCACCTCATGCTAGTACATTATCCTGACATATTCATCAAATCTAAATGAGATAACAAACAATCCGGCCATTAGCTAACACTATGAGCGATCATTATGAGAGAGTGAAGATTGAGCTCCAGCAGATGAAGGAGGTGGAGAACGAGGCCGCGGCCGACGTGGTGCAGCTGTCCACGGCCTCGGTCTCTCCAGTCCCCGCTGACGTTTCCTTCACTGCTCGGAGAGACCAGTCCAAAAGTAGCATTAACGGGAGAAGTCGGAGTAAAAGTAGGAGCAAAGCAGACGGTCATGAGAGACAGGTGAACGGTAAACAACTGCCGGATCTGACGCCGCAGAAGTCAGACTATTCACAAGGACAGAGCCGTGTGATCAACGAGCCAAACCTTCACATTAAAGGAACGGCAAGGCTTTTAAAGGGTAAAACGGCGGCAAACGGTCACGTTGAGTCATGCCAGAGACAGACAGATGTGAAATGTGAGCATCATGGCAAAGAGGCCAAAAAGAGAAGAGCTGTCACGGTGGACACCTCCAAGGCAAAGACGTCTCTGGAGGCGCTAAAGATGAGCATCAGACAGCTGAAGTGGAAAGAGGTGAGAGAGCCATTGTGTTCTGACAACACATAAGTTAACCTTTGACTTTATCGACCTGCCATTCCGATTACAAGGGCTAATCATATGGTTGTAGCATGCCAACCGTTGTTAGGATATTCTTAGTATTCTCAGTTGTGTGATGTGTGGTCCTGTTAAACCCTACGTTATGGGGACAAAATGTCCCAACAAAGATGGCAATATCCGAAATCCTTGTCCTTGTGGGGACATTTTTGGTCCCCATGATGAGGAAACAAGCTTATAAATGATACAAAATGAAGTTTTTTTTTATCTAAATTTTATCTAAAAATGCAGAAAGTTTTCTGTAAGGGGTAGATTTATGTGTAGGGTTGGTGTAGGGTGATAGAAAATAAAGTTTGTACAGTATAACAGCCATTACGCCTATGGAATCCCTGGTTAAAAAAAGTACACTTCCATAATATACTTGAAGTGTTCTATTTTCACGCACTAATTTTGTACTTAATATACTAAAAATGTTTCTTTAGTACTTTTTAATGTAAACTTAAGATCAACTACGTGTACTCAACTGTGCTATTTTGGGACATCATGAATATGAACTAAAATACGCTTTTAACATACTATCTCTGTATTTAAAAACAATATTTAGTTACTTAGTGTTGCAGTCAAGACCACCTAATCCGAGACCAAGACAATTGTGTGTTGAGACCAAGACTTTGAGGGGTTGAGACCAAGACAAGACCAAGAGCAAGGCAGGTCGAGACCGAGTCAAGACCAAGACCAGACCAGCAATTTCATTTTGATGAATTTTCAATTGCTCAAATTCATCTAAAGGTTCCACATTTACTGCCTGAGAAATGCCTTATTTTAAATCATTAAATACAATAATAAGACACTTACAGAGCTGTTACCAATCAAAGGAAATCTCTAACAACAAAATTCATCTTTGCACTGCAGTGGTGGCACAGAAGCTGCATCTGAATTGGTACAATTACAAATGCATAAATATTAATACATTAATACTTAAAAAAAAAGTTTATTGAATGTTTGCATAAAAGCAATATAATTTTGTTCAAAACAGCTCTCTTGCTCTTGTGATATTGCTTAGTTATAATATAATATAATATAAAAATCCACATCTCATACACTCAAGCACTCATACTCTCAAGTACTTTTTTTTACACTTGAATCTTGAATTTTGTGGGTGTATGTATTCATTTTGGTGACAATTTTGACACAATCCATCAATAATTTCTTCTTAGCCAGGGGGCCGTAGCCCACTACGGGGCCTCAACAAACTTCCAAGGGGGCCTCAAGATGACTTAAAAAGTACTCAGCAGCATGTGCTCTGGTGTTGTGTTTTAAATAATGGCTGGTGACAATTTTGACACAATCCATCAATAATTTCTTCTTAGCCAGGGGGCCGTAGCCCACTACGGGGCCTCAACAAACTTCCTAGGGGGCCTCAAGATGACTTAAAAAGTACTCAGCGGCTGTGCTCTGGTGTTGTGTTTTAAATAATGGCGTCATCAATATTGCTTATTAATTTGAGCCCGAATGAGAGCCAGAGAATATTAGTGCAGAGAATCGCACAGAACCTGTGCAAGCACGGCTCTTACAGGACATTTCAGAATGTTATGCTTTTTTGTTTGTTGTTGTCTCATACTTTTAGATACACTGTTATTTGTAAATGCTACTACTTATGTTAGGTTTTAATATATGGTTTTATCCTGATTAAAGCTTTAATACAACACGGCAACAGCATGCCGTGTTGTATTAAACGTTTCTCGTAGCTATGTGAAAAATATCTGTCTGTCTATATATGCATAAAGTGTATAATTGGAACACAGTTGATCGATGGAGCTGAGAGCTGATGATCTGAATGAGAGAGAGAGATGCAGAGCGTGTGCAGAGCAGGGGGACGTGAGGAACAGGATTAAGAACCGCTGCTTTAGAACATTGATTTTGAAACTTGTGAATCCATCAGAATCGTTAGAAGACAGAATCGCAATTCATATATGAATAGATTTTTTCGTGCAGCCCTAGTTTTGATGGCATGGCAACAACTCTTCCTCTTCTCTAAAGCATCGCAACATAGCCTCGCCCCCTTTGTTGCATGTTCCTGGGGGTGGGGTTTATCAGGGTTTGTGATGTCACAAACCCGGGAAGAAGCTCGTTGTAGTCCCTACCAGCTGTAATTTTAGGCATTAAACTGCCATAACTTTAATAGACAATATCCACATTTGCATTGAACTTTCAGCGTTGTAACTTTGCAGCTATTGTTTATGCTCAAACCGCAACATTACACACTAACTAAAGTTAAAAAAAGTGAAATTGCAATCAACCACCCCTTTAATATACATGCTAAGCTCTAAAATAGTAGAGGGGGTGCCTTCAATAATATTGTGGACAATAGGGGGGCAGTAAAGTCAAACATTTTTAGATCCACTGGTATAAATCAAATTATTTATTTTTTTGTTATTCAGTTATTTAATTAGTTATTGATTGCATTTGAAGCAGGAAGTTTTACATCCAATCACATTAATAATGGTTGTAAATAAATCAGACAATATTCTGGTAATTTAGTGATATCCCGCAGTTGTGGTCTTGACCGGTCTTGAAACAAAATCCCGAGTCCTCTTATGCTAAGTTCACACTACACGACTTTAAACGTCGGCAGATCGCTGTGCTGTTCAGACTACATGACTTGATTGTCTGTCTTTAAGTCAATGTGGTGTTTACAATACGTGACTATGTAAATGATCTGCAACCGGGAGTTACACACTACACAAGCTGACAACAACTCTGTCACCCAACGACTCTACAAACCACGTTTTGTCACGAAAACACACGCGAGAATTGGAACGGGAATGACGCGAAACAACACATGAAACAGGAGTTGTTTATTTGAAAATGGACGTCGGGAAGACATTAGCGCTGCAAGCTGTTTGCTCGATGAAAAATTTTGCTCTATTTATTGTGTCCAAACTTTTCTTTAAGCCATGTTGCTGCTGTTGTTTTTCTTCCGGTGACTTCAACCCATGCCTTGCTCTCTCATTGGCTGTAGCTCGTCACGACACCTGACACCACGTGATGTCGAGTCGGCCGACCGGTCCAGATATTTGGCATGCTAGATATTTGTTTGCCGTCGGTGATGCATCAGCGAGCCTCTTTGATGGGTCGTTGTGTAGTTCACATATAAAGATTGCCGAGCACTGATCACCCACTGATTTTCCCCCGATCAAAGCCCGACCTGTCGGCGAGCTCGTTAACTTGCAAATCGGGTTTAAAATCCTGTAGTGTAAACTTGTCATTAGTCTGAGACCAAGACAAGACTGAGTACAAATGTGACCGAGACAAGACCATCAAAAAATGGTCTTAAAACCAGTCTCAAGACCAAGACCGGTCTCAAGTACTACAACACTATAGTTACCACTTGTACAATTGAGTGTACTAGTGTATGAAAGTTGGGTTCAAGTTTAAGTGTACTGCATCAGTAAAACCGATCCACACATTTGCTTGAATATGAATGGATGAATCCATTGGACTTCTCTACATTTTCTTTAGGCTTCTGCTATGTAAACAAACACTTACTCATGACTTGTAGGCTTAATATTTCAACAGCCATTGCCAGTCTTTAACCTTGTCCTTCAACACATGTGACAAACACACGCATATGGTTACACTTGACCGTCTATGTAAAGTCACTCTGCATTAAAAAAAGAAACACTCATTAATAAATTGATAAGATGTCAAACGATACCATGTGGTGCACAACACCTGGCAGGTTGGAGAGAGTGAATGGTTCTGTTGAGAGAATGTCTACACCCCCTTCTACTCGTATCCACTGAAATATTATGAGCCTTTGTAATTCAGCGCTGCCTTGTTAAAGGTCGGTTTCAAGTTTAAGCGTATCCATTATACCTTTTATCCTGTCTGCTACACCAAAGACCGTTTCAAGGGCAGGAGGAGTTCCCACCTGTGGTTTTAAAAATGTTATGAAGACTATCAGTCCTTGAAGTTATTTAGAAATAGTGCTGGGTGGTATGACCAAAAATTTATATCACGGTATTTTTCAAAATTATTCCGTTTTCTAAAAAATTAATATCATAACAAAAATAAACACCGGTATTCGGTATGAACCGGTATACCGCCCAGCACTATTTAGAAACATAGATCCAAAGATCTAATTATGACATTTAGGGTGTTTTCACACCTGGCCTGTTGTTTTGGAACCTGGTGCGTTTCCCCCCTTAGCTCGGTTCGTTTGGGCATATGTGAACACAGCAATCGGGCTCGGATACGCGCCAAAACAATCGGTTCGAGATCGCCTGAACGAAGTGGTCTCAGCTCGATTGAAAACGAACTCTGGAGCGGTTCGGTTGTAGTGAGAAAGCAATCCGATCCAACGGACCAACGAACCAGGCTATATCACAATTTATGATGGGTAATTACGTAAGTTCCGTGAAAAGCATCAGCTTTGTTGTTTTGCTAATACCTCAAAATGAACCTGTGAATGTCTGTGGGTGAGCACGTCTTTGCCATTCAAAAACCAAAGCGCACTTTATTTTATAATGCTTATTGCTCTTCTTTGTAGGTGCATTTTAAAAATGTTTTCCCGATCAATCCTGGACTCCTGCTCAAAATGATAAATTATTATAATGACAGCTACAAAAAACAAAAACAACAATAAGCCCGCGAAGCTGTAATCGTTCCATCTTGACCAATGACATGCGTGACAGCTCAGTGGAATCCCGGAAAATAAACCGTGGAACTTTGACCAATGAGAGAACAGTTTACTCGCGCGTGACTTGTATTAACAAATTTGGTCCGTTTAGAAACTTTGCCGTGTGAAAGCGAACCGCACCAAAAATAAAAAGCAACATTGTAATAATTTTAATCCCTGTTTCGGAACAAAGCAATCGATCTACTGGTGTGAAAGCACCCTTAGAAACAAAGTATAATATAGGCTAATCTGTAAGCACTTGATACAGACTCATTAAGACCCGCTACATGAGATAAAGAGTCAGAATTGGCTGTCAACAAGCTGGCAAACTGATGGCAGTTGTTGTCATTACCCATTCAATGTCTTAACTGGGTTCAACTTAAGTTTTCTGTGCAACTAAGATGGGCCTTTGCGAAACTGGATGCTGTACGGCAGACTAATCATCTATGTAGATCATCTGTGGTCTGTAGTAACTGGTAGTACTGTGAATATCTTAAACAATTTAGTTGCATTTGCGCGTAAATAAACCATTTACGTATTTGGATCTGTGTTTCTGATCTAAAAAGGTCTTATGCCATTATCTAATTTGCCGTCATCTAAATCTGAGTACATTGCATTTACGTTTTTGATGTGTCATGGTTGCAAAGACACATAAAGGGTAGTAATGCAGTTTAATGCTGACTTTCACCATATGGTTGTGCCTTCACAGTGTTAAATGATTAAGTTCAATCTGGGATAAACCCACATGCCTGAATTCCCACTGCTCTCCATGCCTGAACGGTATGGAATAATAGGACACTATGCATTGTAGATCTACACGTGTTGTAATTTTCAAATTGTATGTACTAACCTACACATACAGTACTCGGCACAAAAGCACATACATGTACCACACTGGGGCTCAGCCAGACCAGGTAAACATATCAGTTTGTCTGTAACATGTGAGAAATATCTGAAGGGGGTCCAGGCTGATGTGACAGGGGTAATGATCCTCCCTGGGGAGAGATGAGTGGTTGGTTGGTGTTAACACCATGGCAGCTTCCATGGTGAGTAACAAATAGAAATACTATAAAAGAGCAATTTAAAAACATATACATGGTTTTTAAAGTTTGCTTGAGATAAAATCTTTAAAATTTAGTTTTCTTTGAAATGATTGCTGAGTAATATCAATTCCTAAAATAACATAAACCAGCACAATTGAATAAAATATGTTTAAGAGATACTGGACTCTGGCATGAGGAGCATAGTGGCGGATCGTCAATTGATATTAAGAACTTCTGGAATGCCTTATTTGGCCCTAGAGAGGTAAGAAAACAGAACTGTAACCTTTAGGTTTTTAAATAGAGTTCATTTTATAGCCATTTGTAATACGAGAACACTTTTAATGAAAGTTAAAGTATAACAAATCAGAATGAAAAAAAAAACAATAAAACTTCACTTAGAAAGGAGGAAAGTGTTTTCCGAAAGGATGTTTCACATTTTGTCTGACTTGTTAAATGCATTGAAGATATACCATAGGTTGAATTGAAATGCTCTTTTTTTTTAAGTTTGGGATTTCTTGGTGCACAAGTTTTCTCTTCAGTGTTTCGTGACAATTTCACGTGTCTTGTACCTGCTACATAATACCAAGTAACTTCATTTAAGTAGTTACGGCTAGAGGTGATTGGATTGAACAGGCATGTCCTCGTTTTCTGACCTGCTCCACAGCTACTCTGACAGAGCAATGAAATGTTATTCATGTTTAAGAGATCTTTGCTAACCCTGATGCATCAAACAGAGCTGGGGTGCTAATATTTTGACTCAAACTGAATAAACCACTTTGTGTTATCATTTCAAAAGATTCTTCCCAGTTCACACAAAAATAAAAATGTACATTCATGTTGTTCCAAACCAGTTTCTTTCTTCTGTGGAATTTAAAAGAAGATATTTTGTGAAATGTCTTCATTTTTTTGTTTTATTTTTTTGGAAGTCAGTGGTCCCCAAAACGTTTTTAGTTACCAACATTCTTCAAAATATTTTCGTTTGTTATCTGCTGAATAAATAAAGTCATACAGGTTTTGGAACAGCATGAGAGGAGTAAATATCGTAGAGTTCTTATTTTTGGGTGAACCCAAATGCATTAAAATGTTTACACAAAGTTTTTAGTGCAGTCAGTACACTAACAATAATTGCTGGTCACTAAATCTGACAGATGTATATCAATATTTATCCAAAGAAGGCAGATCTAATTGAACTGCCCAGTTTAGTTTTACCCTGCTTCAGTCTTTTTTTTTTTTTTTTTAAATTAAAACACAATGTTAGAAGAATGCAAATAAATAGATCATTGTGTTTTAAGAGGAAAAAATAAATGGAAACCATTTTTGTTTATGCCAGCTTCATGCAGTGATCTATCAAAGTCACGCACATGAGCATTAGTGCTGCACAAAATTGCTGCACTTCAGATTAAAGCAACTGGAGCAAATAAAGTTCACTTGTTAATTGTTCTGCTACGGTCTGTGATGCCTGTGTTTTTTGAACACATTCACACTTTGGTTTCACTTTATGAATTATGGTATATATGTTTTAGACTTGCTACTTTTGACTGATTCCTGAGCCTCTGAAATAGCAAGGGCTATTTAAACCTCTGTCGTTGACAGGTTTCACCATATTTGTGAGGACATTTTGAAAAAAACTGGCCTTCACAACTCTAGCTATACCTGTAAACCAGCGTGAACTCCTAATCTGATCACAAATTTCTGGTTTCCTCTGTGTGCTAGCTGACCAATATGGGAGCACCTCCTCACACTCCATTAGCCTGTTAAACAGTGACATGATCCTCACAAAATCCAGCCCAAGACACGTAACCTAGTCTATACTAAGCACACTACCTGCATCCTGATTAGTGACCTTGATAACCTACTTCACGCTTAGCCCGTGCTGTAGCCTAGTCATCATATACAGGGTCTTAAAAATGTATATGAAACTGGACCAAAACCTGAAACACTGGTCTGTACACAAGTGCTCAAAATGCTTTTTCACCTGTAAATGAATGATGGTAGTAACATATCTTAACCCTGCCTCTGTACCTGACACTGTTACTGTTGTAGAAGTATAACTATTCTTCCAAGTCATTGAGAATGTAGCCCTCAGCCGTGATATGCATACTGTTGGAAAGAGTAGAAATTGTTAACTAAAATGTTTCATGGAAAAAGAGTCCTGCAGTGGTGAACTGTTGTTATTCTAGTACAGTTAGTCATAGTCAATGTTTTGCATCCTTGTCAAAAGTATGACATGTGTATTGTGTTGTGATTGATGGTTTTCCTCCTTTACTTTGCCTCAAGTCTCTTTTTTTGATCCTGCAGTTTCCGATGGGTAGGCGGACAGCCTGTGATATCTACTGGCATGGCGTCTCTTTTCATGACAATGAGAACATCATGTCTGGGCAAGTCAACAAATTCCCAGGTAAACTTCACAAAAAGTAGGTCTTTAAAGATGTTGTCATCCTAGAAACGGCGACTTAAGTAATTGTAATAGGACACCACCATTTGCAATCTTGTGTAAATGTAAATGTAAAATGAAAAAAATGTAAATGACAGTGGGATCTGTCATTAAAGATCGTTTAATCCTAATTTTCAGACTGGTACGATGTTCGCATTTAAACTGGTCAATCTGGTATTACCTGTAGCTGGTAATTATGTTGTTATGCTGTTTTTCATGTTGTTTCTCACCATGGCAACTCCTTGCATGCTTGTGTTGAATGTGCTTCTCGTATATGAAAAGTATGCCATGGCAAGCCTATTCAACAATAAATATCTAAATAATAGTTTTGGTCAATTAACCTGGCAAGCAGGAGATTTACAACATTAAACAAATTCTTTAAAGCGTTAAGGATGGGGATAGGGCTGTTAAATACAGTGTTTTTATAGTAAATAAAGATGAAAACAATTGATTTTAAAACATTTGACTGAAATCACAAAGTATAAGAAAAACTAAAGCAAAATGAAACTAAAATCTGGATCACGAAGTTGAATGATCTGACCTGTTTGTGTGGTTGAAGATGTCCCTCTGATTTCGACATGGTGAAACACTGTATCCTATTACAAAAAACCTGAAGCTAAAAATATTAAGAACAAAATCCGTGCATAAATGACAAAACTGCAACTATTGAAAACCATTGCTGAAACTAATTTAAACAAGTCTGGAAATTGAAAAATAGTACTAAACTTTGTCACATTTACATTAGTTAGTTAGTATAGGCTACATTCTGTACAGTCATGGCCAAAAGTTTTGGCAGTGACATAAATTTTGTGTTTTGCAAAGTTTGCTGCTTCACTATTTGTAGATTATTTTTCCACATGTTTCTATGGTATACTGAAAAACAATGATAAGCAAATTTGTGGGCTTCTGCTTGTCCACTCGCCTTTTGAGGACTGACCACAGGTTCTCTATGGGATTGAGCTCCAGGGAGATGCCTGGCCACGGATCCAAAATTTCAATGTAATGATCTTCAAAGCCACTTCTTTATCACTCTTGCTTTGTGACATGGTGCTCCATCATGCTGGAAAATGCACGGATCATCACCAAATTGCTCATGGGTCGTTGGAAGAAGTCACTCTCGCAGGACGTTTTGATACCATTCTTTATTCATGGCAGTGTTTTTGGGCAGAATTATGAGAGAGCCCACTCCCTTGGTTGAAAATGGTCTTGGTCTCAGGATGCTTCACTGTTGGCACAACACAGGACTCATGTCTTACAATCTAATTAGTATGATAGTGATTAACCTGACTAGTACTCATTCACACTTTCACATGTGCTGCTGATATGATTAGTCAATTAATGTTAGCTGGTCATTTTGTGTCAGGATAAAAAAACAGTGAAATTTGTTTTTTTTGTGAAAAGTTCATTTTTTTGGCCAATGAAGCTTTTAGCAATTATTTAAAATGCATCTGATCGCTCTACACAATAATCTAGAAACAATGTGTATGAACACCACAACAGCTTAAGCAGCAAAACTTTACAAAACACAAAATTTATGTCACTGCCAAAACTTGTGGCCATGACTGTACTTGCTTTTAGAGGAAGGTTATCAGTCATACAGTATGGTGAGTATTGTTCACTGGAATGTTTTTCAGCAGTGGAGTCATAAAGGAGTCTCAAGAGCTGCTGACTCATGGGTTGGATGGAATATGGCTGTTTTCATAGCTGTATTGACAGTTGCTTTCACATGGACAGCCTTTCCAAGCTGTGCGCGCTATGGAGCCATTGAAATCAAATGATCAAGTGATTTAATGAAAGTTCTGGGAAATAGGGCTCTAAAATGTGTCTTTTTTTGAGAGAGAATAACGCCCCTGTAGGGCCATTTCTCTTTGATTTCACCGTTTTCTCATCAACTATCCTGTCGGTCAGCAGGAATGATAGAGATGCTGCGGAAGATAAACCTGAGTCGTGCCGTGCGTACCATGCAGGAGCTGTTCCCGGAGGAGTACAACTTCTACCCACGCTCCTGGATCCTGCCTGAGGAATACCAACTCTTCTCCTCACAGGTACAAGCTCAGTGTGGGAAACACTTCAGAAGATACTTAGGACACCGTATTAGAGTCAATCTTTGAAATCACAAAGAAGACATTTACAGAAGCTAGACAAACTGTCTTTTTTTCTGTCTTCCTCCAGCAGTGTTTCTCTCAGTGGTGTATCTTTAGGTAGATTGCTGTAGTAGTAATTGGTCAAGACAGAACCACAGTAAAACCAGGTTAAGCAGTTTAGTGGCCAGCAACAGCTAATTGTGAATGACAAGTTTGTTACAAGATCTTGTAGTTACTGGATTTACATCTTCAATCTCCTTCCACATATTACAGTTACTGTATCTTTGTGCTTTATTTGTTCAGATGGGCTGCTTAAATGGGATTTTATCTTATGCTGTCCAGCAGGTTTAAACAATTTGTGGTTCAATTTGTTAGTTTTTTTGTTGTTTTGGGGTTTTTTTGGAGTGTTTTTCCTTTTTTTATTTCCCTTTTTTTAGATTATTAATACTTATTCATATTTGTGCATGAACCTTTGAGCATGAATCAGGAAAGACTTGTGAGGACTTGTGTTTGAGTAACTTTTTTTTATAAATAGAAAAGCTGCAGGGGGCAGCAGAGATCTGCGGAAGGGGGAAAAAGAGAAAACATGCATGCAGCTAAAGAAAACCATTGTATAAGTTGGAAATATGAGGCTTTGTTTACCAACCCTAATAACCATAATGCTATTAGTGGATAGTCACCAGCACTCACTGCCTTTTAAACTTTAACTTTTTTTTTTTTTAAGTAAGCGTTAGATCAGCCTTGTGTTATTTTGTTTATAATCGTATTATTATTTTTAATTTTATTATTATTATTTGTTTTTTTTGTAGCATTCAGAGCACTTAAACATTAGCTGGAGACTCAAATAAAGACTGTTCATATTAACCCTTTCAGACCCTTCTGTGGACATCATATTAGTAAGACAGTGAGTTTTCTTGAAGTATCCATATGTATTTAAATATTTAGCTCTTAAAATAGATATTAGAAAGTAAATTAAATTGAATTAAATTAATGTTTTGGTTGATTATCATTAAGGGCAGCATTAAGAGTAGAAATAAAGCATTGTGTCACTGAAATGTAATTCAGATTTGAAAGGGTTATTTCTTTCAAGAGATGGCCTCTTTAAGTTCTTTTCCAAGCATGTTAGAAAAAAATGTCACTGTTCACCTTCCGCTTTTGTCCCCCTTTTTTTTTTAAGATTCGTCTCCTGAAAGATAATGATTCAACCCTCAAACACACTTTTATTGTCAAACCGGACAGCGGATCCCAGGGCGATGGCATCTACCTCATCCGTGACCCTGCTGACCTTCGGGTCATCTCGGGTTCTCAGATCAAACAAGCAGTTGTTCAAGAATACATCCAGAAACCCCTGCTCATCGATAAACTGAAGTTTGATATCCGCCTGTATGTTCTGGTCCGCTCCTTGGAGCCTCTAGAGATCTACATTGCTAAAGAGGGTCTGTCAAGGTTCTGCACAGAACCCTACCAAGAACCCAGCCAGAAGAACCTCAGTCATGTTTTTATGCACCTCACCAACTACTCCCTTAATGTGCACAGCGGGAACTTTGTTCACTCCGACAGCTGCAGCACTGGCAGTAAACGCACTTTCTCTAGCGTTCTCTATCGCCTGGCATCGAAAGGAGTGGACATCAAGAAGGTCTGGTCGGACATTATCGCTTTGGTTATCAAGACAGTAATTGCACTTGTGCCTGAACTGAAGGTGTATTATCAGGCAGATATTCCACTTGGAAAACCAGGACCGACATGTTTTCAGGTATATTTGCAATGAATTCCTTTATGTGTGTGACGTGTTTTGCATTTTCTCATTAAAATGAGAAAAACGAGCACATACCCATATGCTGTTAACTATGTTTTTCCTTCACCAGGCGATCCCTAATTCTCTGCATTTCACTGGTTTTCAAAGTCAATAAATAGTGAATAACAAGATGATGTGTTCCAATTGTAGATCCTGGGCTTTGATATCCTGCTGATGAAAAACTTGAAGCCTGTTTTATTAGAGGTCAATGCCAATCCCAGCATGAGGATTGAACATGAGCAGGAGGTGAGGGTGCAGATGCTCTATTAGTGTGATGCTTAGAAACCAGTACCTTAAAAATGTACTGTGGCAGTACTAAAGATCTTTGATATATTTTGATATTATTATTTAGGTGGTTATTTATTTATTATTTGAATTTCCTGAGAAGAAGAAGAAGAAAAAAAAAAACTCTATTCGTGCGGTACACATGCGTACCGAACCGAAAGACCTGTACCGAAACGGTTCGGTACGAATACGTGTACCGTTACACCCCTAATATATATAGGCTGATGATGAAGTAAAGCTGTAGAGATTGTATGTTTTTAGGGCCATTCTTATAATCGCCTTTAAAGTTGTCCAAATTAAGTTCTTAGCAATGCATATTACTAATCAAAAATTAAGTTTTAGTATATTCACAGTAGGAAATTTACAAAATATTTTCATGGAAAATGATCTTTACCTAATATCCTAATGATTTTTGGCATAAAAGAAAAATGTATAATTTTGACCCAAGCGAGATGCTAACGGTCTAATCAGATTCAATGATCTATGCTAAGCTACAGCTAAAAGTGCTACCGCCAGACCCGGCGATCGGCTGAATGGATTCGAAAACGGTAAAACTCAACTGTTTAGCTCTAGAGGAGTTGGAAAATGAGCCTATTTTCAAAAATAGTGGAGTGTTCCTTTAAGACTGGTTTTGTGGTCCAGGGTCACATTTATAATGTTACAAAATATTGCATTTCAAATGAATGCAGTTCTTTTGATTTTTTTTTTTTTTTTGATTCAACAAAGAATCCTGAAAAAAGTAATGGTTTCCACAAAAATATTAAGTAACTGTTTTCAACATTGTTAATAAAAAAGGGTTCTTTAGCAGCACATCAGATCTCAAATCAAATCTCAGCAAATTAGAATGATTTCTGAAGGATCATAGGACACTGAAGAATGGAGTAATGGCTGCTGAAAATTCATTTTTGCCATCGCAGGAATAAATGACATTTTTTAATATTTTAAAATATTTACATTTAGTCATTTAGCAGACGCTTTTATCCAATGTGACTAACAAATGAGGACAATGGAAGCAATCAAAATCAACAAAAGAGCAATGATATGCAAGTGCTATAACAAGTTTCAGTTAGCCTAACGCAGTACACATAGCAAGGTTTTTTTAAATTATATAATAAATAATAAGAAAACAGACAGAATAGAAAAAGAATAGAGCAAGCTAGTGTTAGAGGCCTTTTTTTGCTTTTTGTTAATTGTATAATAAATAAAAGAAAACAAATAGATAGAATACAAAAAGAATAGAGAAGCTAGTGTTTAGAAGCAGTTAGTAAATGAATAGAGTGCAAGTCTAAAAGGGGGAATTTATGTTTTTTAAAGAATAGAATTAGAATAGAGAGTTAGAGGGTCAAATAAAGATGGAAGAGATTGAAGATAAGCTGACTCGGACTGAGTTGGGCAGGTCATTCCACCAGAAGGGAACATTTCATGTAAAAATATAAATGTATTTTTAAATTGTAAAAGTTATTTTAGATTGTAGTAATATTTCACAACATTTTAACTGTATTTTTGCTCAAATAAATACAGCCTTGGTGAGCATAAGAAACTTCTTTCATAAACAGTAACATTTGGTCTTACTGACTCTAAACTGACAATGACTATACTTGTGTTTACAGACTAACGGGGACATTAACACGAGTCTGTTGCGCTGCTGATTGTTGAAGCCATATGTTGCAGGTGTCACCTGGTGTGTTTGAATATGTACCGAGTCCAGTGGATGAAGAGGTGAAAGTGGGTGTGATCAGAGACACGCTGCGGCTCATGGACCCCGCTCAGAGGAAACAACACGTAACGTGAGTCATAATCTTTAAGGCTTATGGGACAGTTGATGGTGCAGTTTGTGTGCATATGCGCATGCCCACCGGTGCGTGTTGTCATCCTCGCCTCAGCTTTGTGGAGCTGAAATAATGGAGATGGTCCTCACTGCAGAACACAACTCCTCCCACCTTACATATACCTAAACCTACCCGTCTCCACCCCCGATCCCTAAACCCACCCATCTCCACCCCCTAGATGTGGATCCAACCACGCCCCCTGGATCTTGTGTTCTGCAGTGAGGGGCTATTGAAATAATGGTCTGCTGAGCTGCAGTCATAAGCCTTTCAGATGGAAAAATTTAATTCAGGAAATCCTGTGATGGAATTTCACACTTGTGTGGCCAGTCTTCCTCTGTCTCTCTGAGTCAGGGATAGCCGGACCGTCTCATGCCCCATGAGCAAGTGTGTGTGTGTCAGCTTTTATTGTAGCTCATTGTACACAGACACACTTCAGTGTCTAGGCCTGGGGGAAATAAAAGTCAGGCAGTCTTTGTTTTTGAGAAAAGTGTAGAGTCAGCTCAGAGTTTAATTGAGACGGCATGTGCGCTCAGAGCTGGAAAGACTCCGTGTGCACATTTTTGTTTAATATCTGCTAATTTAGCCTTTAGATGTGCATTTTTATGATCTAGCACAGTTGTCTGGTTTGTGGTGTTTGATGAGAAATGAAAAAAGTTGAATCATCATCGTTTTCAGTTCTTGATGATGATTTCAGAAATCTAATATACTGATTTGGAGCTCACTTAACATTTCTTATTATCAACGTTGAAAACAGTTGCTGCCTACTATTTTTGTGGAAACCAAGATACATTTTTAAAAGTATTCCTTGATGAATACAAAGTTCAGAAGAACATTTGTTTGAAATAGAAATATTTTGTAGCAAACCTATGAAACCATGAAAAAAAAAAAACATACTTTTTCCAAAAGACTGCCTTTGGTTTTGAAAAACCAAAACTTTTTCTTCAGACTGCCAGTTCCTGCAAGGAGAATGTTAGTGTGTCATTAAAAAATGTACATAAACAAATAAACAGTCTCCTCTGTAGAACTATCTCTTATGGTTGAGCAAACATAAGCTCATATTGGCACAAAAGATTGAATGAATAAAACAAATGAAGGTCACTCGGAGAGAAAGTTCTACATACTCAGTCACGATCTCTTTCATCTCGTGTCCTCCTTTCAGTCAACCTGAAATAACAAACCTTCAGTGACTGCGACGACTGTGTGAATGAACACACCACTCACAAACTCTTCTGAGTCAAGCCCTTTGATGCTTTTTGAAGCTATTCTGTCTTGAGTACGATTGTCACGGCTAATACTGACAAGTACAAAGTCACTAAGGCTTTATGAAGCCAGAACGTCTTCACTAGTGTTGTATAATGACAGCCTATTCCTTGCAGGGCTCTCCACAGGCTGTTCCTCTAGTGTTGTCGATCACGTGTCTTGTTGGACCAGTTCATCTTGCATGTTTCCAAAGGCTTCTGTAGGAAATTAGCCGAGATGACCCTGAGGCAATTTGATGTTTATGAATATGTTAGACATACAGTATGTTGTTAGATTATATTAATAGTGGGCCGCTCCCTAGTTAATTTTTGGCGGTTTATAGAGCCTCTAGCAGTCACGGAGGCAGGTGTGATATCTTAAAGTTATATTCCAGGTTCAGTACAAGCTAAGATCAGTACCCCCCCAATCATCTTTTTTGGGAGTATGTAAGTTTGGTGAGCAGATACAAAATTCTACGGCATCTTTAATGTGCTAAAGGTTGTATGTGTCTTTGGGTAAACCCATTAAGTGTGTTAAGTTATATCTCTGTCGTTAGTACTTTTACCCTGTAATTCTCAAGCCACAATCTTCAGGTAAGAAGCCACGAAGTGTATCTACTTGGACTAAAAGTGCAGGGTTACTTACAACTCTGCTGAAATGCAACAAACTGCTTTGGCTCCTCAGCCATCTGGACTCAGCGCTCGTATGAGAGGACTGCAGTTCGCTCGGTTGGTTTTGTGATTGTTAAATAATTGTTTTTCATTATGTTGTCCTTGGGTAAGCGAAAGAGAAGAGGGATTTAATGAGAAAATGGTAAGACTTGTGGTTTGTGATTTTATTCACTGAGGATTTCGGTTTAATTTTTTTATTCCTTTGGTTTGAAGTCCTCCATTCTCCTACTTGACAGATTTTCTTTTAAGCGTTATGCTGTTAGCACAAAATCAATCCGCAAACTTTACAAATGATTTGAGTAGTTTTTGTTCTTATTTAGCCATTTTTTTAAGTGACTGACATTTTTCACTCATCTACTGTCTTAAATTTGAGAAATGATAAAATGGCAGAGTTAGTGGCAAAGTTAGTCAAAAATATTTTGATCACAAAAGACACCAGTTAAAATGGTTAAAGTTTGCACCATATACTATAATTTACCAAAGGTGTTTATGAAGTTGTAAAATGTAATATTAGTTAAAACTGTAATGTAAAACTGACACATTTTGTGAATACTTATTTATATTTTTTATATTTATAGTTTTTCGGTCTATTTTTCTGTTACTTGTAGAAAATATATAAATGTATATTAAAAAGTCTGATGTTGGTGTGTGTTGAGGTTCACCTTACTGTGCCAACAGGTCAAGTACAGGGGGCGGTTCACCAGAAGAAGCTATTGTTGTGGAGACAGGAAGTGATGAGAAAGAAGGCTTGGCGGATTCCCTTCCATCTTTGTGTTTAAAGCAAGTTTTCCCCAAATACACCAAGCAGTTTAATTACTTGCGGGTCGTGGAACGCATCGCTACCATTTTCCTGCGCTTCCTTGGTGTCAAAGGAACCATGAGACTGGGTCCAACCAGCTTCCGCACCTTCATCAGGCAAGTCATATTAGTTCCTGTAGCTCAACTGATAGAGCGTGGCATTAGCCAAAGCCAAGATCATGCTGGTAAAATGTAAACCTTCAAAGCAACATCTGCAAAATGAAGACATGTAAATGTGACAACCATTTCACTGCCTCAGATTGAATTGACATACTGTATAACATTATTGCTAGATTTAATGGAATGAATGGGATTCTGAATAAGGCAACATTCATTAATTGAGCATCTCCTTTAGGAACTGCAAGCTGAGTAACAGCAGCTTCTCGATGGCTTCAGTGGACATCCTGTACATCGACATCACGCGTCGCTGGGCTGGAATGGTCCCCGACTCCAAAGAGGCAGGCAAGTGGCCCACCAATCAGGATGCAATTTACAGCACATCTTCACTCACGAGGCCAACACACAATCAAAAAGCTGTTAAACAGCCTCCGATAAAAGACACATTTGCAACTATTAATCATAGCGCATTTCCCCTCGCACGCAGTCATAAATGAGATCGTCAGGGGAGATAATTGACAAATAAATTCACTACTTCGATCATTTGCCCAGTACTTGGAAATCGCAAAAATAGATGGCCAATCAACTAATGCCACATAACCAAATTTTCAAGTTCTGCCTCAATCTTTTATATTTTAATTTTTATTGATTTTTTGCTTTCACTTTGAAACGCTACTTTGGTAAATGGGGACATTTTGTGTGTGTGTGTCAAAGCTAATGTGCCCACAAGTCATTTTTGCTTTTAAATGAGCACTGCTAATATTCTTTGTGATGGTGCATTAGGTTGGGTCATGCTAGCATCGTTTTCTTGGAGGAACGTATGAAATGAATAATGCATGCCAGGCCTTGCTTCTCCTAATCAAAAGAGAGAATGAATGAATATATACTCGAGTCTCTGTGCTCCTAAATGGCCAGAGTGGAATGATGTGAGCTGAATTCTGGAGCGTTTCGGAAGGTTGCACTGAATTTGGTCATTAGCGCCTTACAGTAGGGAATCAACACACACTCACAGAAGCCAGACTGTGTGGCGTGAGGAAAGTAATAACTGCTGGATAAGGTTAGATATTTACAGTGGGTACGGAAAGTATTCAGACCCCCTTAAATTTTTCACTCTTTGTTATATTGCAGCCTGCAATATAACAAAGAGTGAAAAATTTAAGGGGGTCTGAATACTTTCCGTACCCACTGTATAAATAATAGAAGTGGCTATTTAAAAGAAGGGGATCGGACTGTTTATCCCTGAGGAGGAAGAGGAGCGATAGCGCTGCCATGATCTTCATTAATAGTAATACATTTACATTTGAGGAATGCTGACTTGACACTCGGACAGAGTCTTAATCCTCCTGTCCATCCCAGAGTTCAGTCTACTTCATTTGACACCATAATGCTGAATTCTTTTAGTGCTCCTCATTAGTCTGCTTAATGAAAGAACATAATGGAGAACAGCGTTGCTTATTAATTGTGGCCATCCATCCATCCATTCTCAATGTACACATATTTCTGACCAGCGCAGCAGGCCGCCTCATTTTCTTTCGAGAGGATTTTCACGGCTCCATATTGTCCGCAGCGAGGGCTCATTAACGCTCTGTATATGTAGTCAGACAAGTGATCTGCATCCACTTTCAGGCTCCAACCCCCTGAGGGTCCCAGGGACCCTTAATAAAAGTACAAGTGCCTTCTTGTGGAAATGTGCAGAGAGAATTTCACCACGTTTAAAATGTACAAAGTTTTTCCCTTTCGAAAGAAGCTGTCTGTATTTCTCTCCCTCGGCTCGCAGGCTCAGACGTGACCTTGAGAAATTTCCTGCTGATGATTTGAGCTTGCATATGAAGTTTTTAACAGGAACATAAATATACTGTAATTAAGTTTTCATCAGCATGGAGATACGACTGCACTAAATAATACACAGATGAAGCCCTGTTAATTAATAAACAAGCAGAAGGGAAATCTGCCATATGTACACTTCTGATTAAAGCCGCTTACAGCTCGGAAATAATGTTAGTAATAGCTTTTCTTCAAATCTTTCAGTAAACTCTTTATTTGACAATGGCATGTATTGTCTTGTTTGGTTTGCATGGAATGACTATTACTCATACTGTATATTTATATGAAGTTATGTGCCAAAGTTTAATAATTAGGTCTTTCCAAACTCTTTACTTTAGGCACTACATCTAAATTTCACCCATTTTTTTTTTCTTTTAACCTCATAATTCATCAAAAGATAATCATCTGGTGAAATTACAGATTTCAATTCTTCTCTAACTATTGTGTCTGCTCAAACTCCTCTATGCAAACTCTCATTCGTCTCATTTTTGAGTGCAACACCCACATCTCAGAATCCAATCAACAACTGATGAATAAATGGAAGTACTTGCTCTACCTTTTTTTTGCTAATCCATTACACTTGGTTGTATGTCAAAATATGAAAGAAAAGATCTGTCGACACTTTAATTTAATCTCTGCGCATGTAGAATTGTTATCAACTTGACGGGGGAAGGAATGAAATCTCCAATGTTTCAATAATCCCAAAAACGGAAATAAAATCAGGTAACAGTGGCTTTATAAATTGTGCCGCTTTAAACTTAAATCTCGCAAAAAAAAAAAAAGTCCAGCTAAAGCGCATTCAACTTTGACAGTAAGCAAACACAATTGTCTGTTTTAACTAAGAAAGCGACTGGTTCTTTTTAAAGCATCAAGTAAAGCAAAGCTCTCTCTCTCTTTCAGGAATGTGTCTTCAGGCATTTACTGCAGCCTTCTTTTACTTGGCAGCACGCAGGTTCAAGGCTTTACCGCTGCGGGAGCAGGTGCTCTTGCTGCTGGAGGTTTGTGAGGGGGCCCTTGAGGGCCACAGCGAGAAGCCACGGCCACACCGATCGCACACAAACCCCGCCTCGTCTCAATCATCAGCGCCAATCACGTTCAGCTCCCCCGCTCTGACACGACGACGCCACCGGCCGCCGCAACTCTCTGCTAAAGCTAACACAGAGAACTGACAATCTCACACATACATGTCTTCTGATGAACTTCCAAAAGGGCAAAGCAATGTGCTTTTGAATAAATACAGAAAGAAAGAAGGTAGAATAATGAACCAGATTTTATAACATACAGAAGCCAGGATCAAAGAGGAACTTAAATCATTCACTCTTAGCGCTGTGCAATAGCTCAAGTTGAATTGTTTATACACAGCTCAAGATGAAGATATTTCTTTCACCACACTAAACAGACAAATGTAACGGAGGATATTTGTACACTGACACTTGTTTCAGTGCTAAATGTGCAGATGGCATGACTTGTGTCACATAGCTCGTACTGTATGCTTACCTTCAGGTAATGTGGGTAGGATTTGTGTGAACCAATCGCTGCAGGGATAAATATCACGGGATTCTGTGTTTCTTAAAGGGACGAGATGTTGTTGTAACACCACTTCAGAAAAGCAGCTAATTCTCTCAAATGGCCACCTTTCACTGACTAGGCAGAACAACACGGTGGCCTTTTGTTAGTAAAAATGGTGTTAACACCAGGACATGGCACCAAGTGCATTCGGAGTTTACCAAGTTGTGTATTATTTATACCCGAAGAGATTTATTATTTATTGTTTTTCACTTAACTGAGTCATTCACTGTAGCTGTGAATTGACCGAACTGCTCCCACATGTAGAAATTATGACAGAAGGAGAAACAAGGGTTTGCTGTGGTTTAATGCAAGTGGACATCTCACAAGAATAGCACATATTTACAGATCATTTAACCCTCATTTAATATCACATTGCAGCTGCAGGCATCGACATGTATAAAATCAGGCTTGCCTGAGGTGTACTTTTTATGGACATGTTGAATAAACATTGCATTTAAAAGATTACATTGTATGTTTTTACTTTTTCAGTTATATATGCACACACACACACATACACTACCATTAAAAAAGTAGTTTTAATGTTTTGAAAACAATTAATTTGACCAAAAATAGTAAAAACAGTAACATTGTCAAATAGTATTACAATTTAAATGGTTTCCTACTTTAAAATATTTTAAACTGTAATGTATTACTGTGACAGCAATGCTGAATTCAAATCATTCTAATATGCTGATTTGGTGCTCAAGAAACATTATTATTAACAATGTTAAAAAGTATTGTGCTGCTTACTTTTTATATTTATATACATAAAATAAGATCTGGGATTGTAATAGTTATGGTTGACTCATGCAATTTATTTGTAATGCCGCCCAGAAGACATTGTACATTGGGGTTCAGAAATGGACCATCAGTAGGTTGACCATATCCAAGCACATTTCGTAAATCTTGACCTCTCACATTACACTTGTCAAGTGATTGATTCAGTAATGAAGACAACAAAGCAGGCATATAAAATAACTAAATAAAACTTTAATTATTCTAGTTGCAAATGTACATAAATTGCACAGCCACAATTGTATAGATCTTAACATGGACAAATTTCTCTGTACATTATTGTTCTTGTCATTGTCCTAAAACAAGGCAAGAGTCCAGCCAATACTTTACTTTAAACATACTTACAAAATTATTTTCTACAAGGATTATAAAACATACAACATATTGTAGGTATTCATTTATATATTTGTATATCTTTATATTATTTATTTCACATAGCTACTATTTCACATTGACTGCTTGGAGAAGAAAAAAAGATGCGCAAATAGTTTTACTTGCAAACGTTTCCTAAACTTTGAGAACTGAAATGAAGCCAGATAAAGACACATCTGATGAAAAGAACCGAGACGACAGCAAAAGTCTTTTTCATTTAACACTGTTCTAAACTACCATTTCTTTTCAGTTTTTTTTTTTTTACTCACTAGTAGCTTCTCATGTGGATGGACATAGACGTAATGACTCTGCAAAACCTCAGACCTCATTAAAAACAGAACATGAACAAACAGAGAAGCTGACATCCACGTCTGTAAGAGAAAACGTGTGAAAAATAAATATTGGTTCCCTTTTGTGCAACCATATGAGCCCCGAACCAAGTTTAAGAGTTGATCAAATGAATTTTAAATAACTAGATATTAATCTGCCTTATGCAGACAGTGCTGAAGCATTTAGTACATGCAAAACTACTTTACCAGGGCATCAAAAGAGCATTGATTGCGGTATGTAACACAGTCCAATTGCTAATCTCATGACGTTTACACTGCATGTGCACCTTTGTTTATAGTGTATAGCTACAGTTGCGCAAATGATAATGCTACAAATTAAACTGAATGACAAAATAAAGCATCCCTGGCTTAATAATAATAATGAGCACCTCGAGTTTGCTACGTGTTTGTAGAGTGAAGTAAACCCAAGTGGACATGACAAAGGGAAAAAGTGCATAGTCTTCAAAGCGTTTGAGAATCTGGGGCAAGAGATGTGGTGTGTGCTTGTTAGATTGCTGCGTCTCAGTCTGATCCAACATTTCAGCCATCATTCACTTTGCAGTTCCTGTGAACCCTGCTTTATATATAATATTAACTTATTCACATAATACTCCATCACAGAGCCCATATACAGAGAGGATTCCCTTTAAAAATAACATCTCTTTTCTTACACGTCCCATGACAAGCTGCCTTATAATGTATCTCTTTGCATCAAAATAAAGACGTGCATGCTTCTCACTTCCTCAAAGACCAATGAATGAAAGGAAAACAGCAGCTCCACGCTGCACCATGATAAACGCAGAAGAGTCCTCACATATGTTATTAAGTATGAAAATATACAAACTCTAAATACTGAAATGTAAAGTGTGCAGCAATTTGGACCGATGAGGCAACACATACAAAAATAAACACACCTGTACAAATGACTTAAAAAGGCTTAAAACATTAGAATGGAGAAGAAAAACATGCACAACTCTCCTAAACAATGTAGGAAGAAAACATGAGCTACACAAGGCAGTTTTCAAAACTTCAAACTAAAATCATTTCAGTCTGGTTTAGTGTCTAAAACATTCATTCTGCTCTGCCTGAGCAGTCTGCGCTAATTCAAAATCTTGGCAAAATTTTCTGAAAAAAGAAAAAAAAATAGTGGAAGGAGAATGTAAAATATATACTTTTTAAAATCTATGCACATTATAATCTATCATAGATATTCATCTGAACTGTAAAAATCAAATAAAAGTAAGGACTGAGGGGTATTTCAGATGTAACATTTTAAGGCTTCTCATGATGGAGAGACAAAGTGCACTATGTAGGGAGAAACATAAGCAGGAAGAGAGATATGGAGGACAGCGCCAATTTGCTCGTTCTGTAGTTTCAGTCATTTCATATTAAAGTAGAGACCATTATAAATTAATGTGACAAAATCTAGTTTCTTTTTTTTCAAAGGCTGTATGGAGAACACCTATTTTAAAGCAAGTGAAATGACTTTTTTTGCAGGCTAGAAGGTCCTAGTATCTGGAAAATGTCACCATGTTAACTGTATTGTTTTTTTCTTTTATTTTACAGTTAGTTGTTGTGAAACACGAATGAACATCTAGTGGTGTGTCCTAACATGAAGTACTTGAACAGTAGCCTCACCAGTGGATGTTTAAAGTGGATCTTGCTCCACGTTTCCAAACATTCGCTTTCCAGACCGTCAAAGGTCAATGTTCAGTATCCTCACCTGCAGTATTTCTCTCAGGGTTCACTTACAGAATATCTGCACACTTGCTCGTGTCCTCTGTCTTCATTCCGTCTCTCTGTGGATCCGGGGGGCTTCGTTCAGCAGTTGGAGCTGTTGCGGAACTCCCCGTTCTCTGTGATCTGCAGCTTGGTGGGGTTGGTGGGAGAGATGCCGTTCCGCGTCTGCATGCTGTAGCGCTCCTTCAGCTGTGACAGGGCGCTCATTAGCCTCGCGTTAGCCGCGTCCAGAGATGCTATCCGTTTCTCCTGCAGAGAGAGACAATTTCAGTACATATACAAATCATAAATCCTATGAAAATACCAACACCGGCGATTTCAGCAAGGAGCAATTGTTTGGATGTTAACAGGTATACACTGCATTTTAGAGAAAATGTGGGTTTAGGTTCTCATATTATAAGGGTTAACTGTCACATCCATGTTTCTGGCTGTATAAGGATCATCAAAGTGAATGTGTAATTATGCATATATTTACTGAACGCGAGTATGCACAAGACATTCAGTTTTCTTGATCTCCAGCTAAGCAATGCCAACAATTCTGAGCACACAGTCTGATTAGCTGAGAAGCATTGACCCATGTTGTTCATGTGGATCATTTTGTAGAATGAAAACATGGGTCCCACTTTATATTAAGTGGCCCTAATACCTGTGTACTTACATAGTAACTAGATGTGTACGTAGTATGTAACCACAGTGTAAGTACACATTGGTACATAGTATCTACAGCTGTAATATTTCTGTAACTACACACATTAACAACCCTCAGAATGGTTTGTGTAAGTACAAATGTGTAACAGGACATTGGTAACAACACTTTTTTCACTTCACTAAGTACTCGTGTAACAGGAATTATATAACTACATTTTGTAACAACAATATGTATAAGAGTAATTGGAACCATTTGATCCAGGGGGTGGACATGGGTAGGTTTAGGGATATGTAAAGTGGGAGGAGTTAGATCTCGAGTTGGTGCACCACTGTAATACCAGTGTACTTGCATGGTAAACTCCTCAGGAACTGTCCACTTAATATAAAGTGTAACATTCTGAACACCATCACAATTTATACGTAAAGCCTAACTTACTGGCCGCTGCTGTGTATCATCAGAGTAATTACATGGTAAATCTAATATAAGTGTTGTTACCAATGTCCTGTTACACATTTGTACTTACACATACCATTCAGCGGGTTGTTACATATGTGTAGTTACACAAACATTAGAGCTATAGATACTATGTACCAATGTGTACTTACACTGTGGTTACATACTACGTACACATCTAGTTACTATGTAAGTACACAGGTATTAGGGCCACTTAATATAAAGTGGGACCAAAACAGGTATTGAGTTACTTTTTTGTTTTATCTACTTTTTGGCAAAAGGGATTGAAGATACCAAAATTTTATTTATGATTCATGTTACTTTGCAAAATGGCTGTAGATCAGTGTTTCTCAACCCTGGTCCTGAGCGCCCCCCAACACTGCACATTTTGTATGTCTCCCTTATCTGACACCCATTTCAGGTCCTGGAGTTTCTTTTAATGAGCTAACGAGTTGATTCAGGTGTGTCTGATTAGGGAGACACACAAAATGTGCAGTGCTGGGGGGCGCCCAGGACCAGGGTTGAGAAACACTGCTGTAGATGATCGATTAAACTGCAGGGTAATCACAAATAGCATCACGACTGTCATGATCTGGCTCGTGTCTGTGACGTTATTTGTGGAGACACTCAACCTCGAGTGTTTAATTGCTTATTTCTTTCCTAACATGTGTACATGAAAGGAGAGGAAACAAACCGCTTGGAAACTAAGATGTAAATATACAGCATAAAAATGCATATGCATTTTCCTTGAATTCACACTGTGTTGTAGTATTAGGAAGTGTGGTGTGTCGTTTAGATTTCAGAGATCAGCCAGGAATAGTGATGTTAGGCTTGGTTGGTGTCATTTTAATTGGCGGAGTAGAGATTTCCACAGCCCTCACTGTAGGACAGTGAATATTAACATTAATGATGATTAATGATGCATATATGGCAAAAACGTGTTTCTTTAGAAAACTACAACATAGTGGAAACTATACTGTAGTTTTTCTAAAGGGGTTCCGATCAAATGATAAGGGCGGTTGTGAGATTATGACAGAAATTTAAATGGAAAACATACATCGTTCATTACGTGTGGGGGTCAATAAAAGGGATCATGTGACACTGAGACTGGAGTAATGGCTGCTGAAAAATCAGCTTTGCCAATACAGCATAACCATGCTTTTTTGGCCTTTCTTATATACAAAAATAGTGAAAAAGGAGACAGGAATGACAAGGAAAAGAGGAAGGATGAGATATATTTGACAAGAAAACTACTCAGTGCTATTAATATGGTTCATCCAACTAATTATTTTAATTAACATCAAGCATCATGAAATTTTACTGAACTACTGAAATTTTGGTGTGTTGACAACCTTCAGGCAAAGATCTGTGAAATTAATTTGATTTGTTGAAATGTTTACATTTAAAATTAGTAAATAAGTACATTTTAGAAAAAAAAGAATAAAAAAACCCCGATTAACTGACATACCTAAGATATTACACCACTGACATATCTATATATAGACATACCTGCGCATCAATGATCTTCTGTTTGGAGTCAATCGCTGCCTGCATATCAGCATGATCCTTCTTCAGCTCTTCCTCCACAGACATCAACCTGCATCAACACAAAACAAACACACGTTAAGTCCAGCTTTCATACATCCTCCCATTCTGTCTTTGAGCTAGAGCTCGAGGCCATAAATAGCTGCCCCAAAACATCAGTCTTGGAGGAAAGCAGCTCTCAGTAAATTCTGCCTTGAGGAAGGCTAAAAGTCTTCTAAAAGCTCTCGGTCTTCTCAGATTGCCACTAATACACTATCAGCTGAAAGCAAAATGACACTCAGCATCAGAGGCTTGTGGTAGACTCCTGAAAGGCAAAGTGCCCTCTCTGTGTTTGTTCAATGTAAATTCATGTTTTTATCTGACTCAAGGACTATATGAAAAGGTGAACTTGTGTCATTCATTTCCACCAATTTCACCCATTCAGGCCAATTTGTGGACTGTTGTGAACTAGATAGGCATTATTATACTGACATATGATTGTTTTTTTCTTTTCTTTCTGCTTTATTTTATCTCTCATCACCAGCCTCTCTGCCTTCATTCTGATTTAGCCTTTATAATACAAGTATTCCCCACCTGCTTATGATGCCCTTCATCTGCAGATCTTTGTCATCCTGTTGCCGTCTCAATCTCTCCTCGGACTCGTCCAGTCGGGCCTGATACTCCAGCAACATCTTCTGTGCCTGTTCCTCCTGTCCCTTGATCCGGGCCTCGTATTCCTCCAGCCTCTGCACCGACACACGCAGTCGCTCCTGCAGCATACTGATCTCCGCCTGATACTGCAAGAGACAACATGTTTCTTTTCGTCTTTCACCTCATTAAAAAAATTTAAAAAAATTACCTGTGAAATTGTGTATTTGTATTCGATTTGTGGCATCATGTACAGTGTGCCAATTGTACACTACTGATGACTATTGGTAACTTTTTACAGTAAGGTTTAATTTGTTAACATTAGTTAAAAATGCTTTAAGTCTCATAAATTAACAAACATTAACGACATTTATAAATATCTTTTGGTTATTGTTAATTTATGTTTATTCAAAATATATTTACTAATGTTAATTTATAAATCCTGTTAAAAATGCATTAATATATGTAGAATTCAACATTAACCTAGATATAGAATACATGCTGTAAAAGTTATGTTAGTGTAGGAACATGGTAATGTCAAACTTGGAATCAGAGTTACTAGTGTTATATTGTTAACTTGTAAAAATCGCTTGCGGCAACTGAAATTAAGCTGAAATAAAATATAAATATTTGATGAAAATAACTTTTCATTATTAAATGCTAATTTAAAATATTAATCAATACTATAATATAGTAAATAGTAAATAAATAATATAGTTACTGCTAGTTTCATATCAGTCATAGGACACAGGAAATAGAAAGAATGTACAAAGAATTAAAACAGCAAAAAGGAAGCAGAGTATTAGAGTATGTCTCTTTCATCCACATACACGCTTGTAGAAATTGCTTCTAAGAAGTGTGTAATTTCTGCACCACTACTGGCATTAAGTGGAATTACGAACATTCCTACCACCTCTTCCACCCATTCCCAATCTATCACTGCTGAAACAGAGCAATGTTGAAAATATCACGGGGCTCTTCAGGAGGTCAAACTACAGATGGCTTACTTAGAGTCTCTGCTCATTAAACTGTGAGCTTAACATAAAAAAACCTACACATTTCACCCTTAAGTCTGCATGCAAAAACACCCAACTCAGACAGAGCTGAATGTTGGATCGCTGACACTGAGAGAATCCTCCTGTCTGAGTGAAAATAGTGCATGATGATGATTCATTTCCCTTCCAGAGCGTTTACATGAGCCGAAATCTCTGCTGCTATGGTGTGTGGGCGGTCAGTTACCTTTTCAGCTTGTGTGTGCTCATCTCTGCAAAGCTCCGTCTCAGACTCCTGCTCTATATACGGCACATTCATCAACCAGGCAGCGGTGCGGTCCAATGCGCTGGGGTTCACTGGGGATGGGGCCTATGGGACACACACAAACACACGCATACGCATGAATAAACCAAAGATTAAACAAGATACACACTCACACACACAAAGTCATGCCAGGGGCATCGCGTTCTCAACAGGCAACATGATGACATTTAGCATGACATAAGGCTGAATAAAAAGAACATGTATGACACGTGAGTGTATTTTTATATATAACAGCCCGCAAAATTAAGATAGTTTAGTAGCTTAGTTCATGCAAATTGTTTATCATGATATCATACAATTGCCATTATAGTCCTCCACTATACTGCAAAAAAATCATTTTCTTCATCGGCATTTTGTTTTCCAAATAAACATACTTAAAAACATAATGAAAATAAAATACATTTATATCAGAAGTAAATTTAAGATAAGATGTGTTTTCAGGGAACAGATCTTCAATTTAGATCTGAACTACATTTTTTCCAACAAAAACGTTGAAACATCCTTTATTTAGAAAATAAATTAGGTTTATTTTTCACACCCCATTTTCAAATTGTTGCCTCATTTATGTTATATATATCCTTAGAGTCAACATAAAAATGAAAAATCACTATAATTTCTAAGCGCATATTATTGATTTTATTATGAACAATTCATCCATGCATGTGTTAAATTTTTTAATTTGACCATCATTTTAATTCAAATGTCGATTGATAGAACCAAGTCCCTGCTCTACATTTGTTTTTTTTTGTTTGTTTTTGTTTTTAATTTTTCAGTACTCTGTTTCATTCTGATGTACTTCGCAATACAGAAGAAAAGATCTGTCACTATTTCTATTTCATTTCGACTTTAAAACAAAAACAATTTGCCAATGAGGTTAGAAAAACTATAGCTCAAGATGTTAATCTTTCAGCGAACGTATAATGTAACTGATTCTAAAATCAACTACAGTATTCACAGGAAGTCCACAAATGTGACTTTCACAGTCAGAGAAAGAGCCTGGAGGTGCTCTGCGATGTAATAAATGTGGTTTCCATAGACACACTTCCATCAATCACTTCAAGCAATCAATCAAATCCCAAGAGAGAGAACAATGCATTGTGGAAATGGGAAATGCCCTTCTTGTCCACTTCATTGTCAAATCCTTGAGAAAAATGACTGCCAGTGGCAACAGCCAATGTCGGGGGGTTGATGATTGGTAGCAAGCTAAGCCCTCTGATTCTTATTAGAATCAATAACTCAGACTTGCCGCAAGACATATTAAAATTACTAAGTTAAGATAAAGATACATGATAAATGATCCAGACTGCAGAAAGATTTGCCTGAAACAGATTTGCATGAAGCGGAAATTGTGATTGTCTTTTCCGCCCTGTTTTGATGTACACCTGAATTAATTTTTTCCATCAGGAATTCATAGGATTGCTTGCTATTTAGCACGTGAAGTCTAAAAAATGTAATGTGCATGGATAAATTGCTTATAATAAACACTGCCAATATTACATTAAAAAAAGAACGGTCGATTTTGATTTCTTGGTAACTTTAAACATTCCCAAACAAACAAATGTGGAATCATTAGCAAAGTATCTATTATTCAACTCTACAAACTAGGGGTGGGCGATATACCAGTAGACACGATTAACAGGTAGAAATTTGTCAACGAGTTGAGATTTTCTACTATCGTTTCTATCGCGGTTACACGCTCACGTGATGTTGCTGTGCTACGTCGTCACGAAAACATATCCTTTGCACGTGTTTTTAAGCATTGCGGTTTAAAAACAGGTGATTTTAAGCCATTGAAATGCAAACAGCAGCGAAAGAGAACTCATTTCACTATATGTGCTTGCTGCCTGTCTTTGCAAGTGAAAGCAAACAGTTGAGAAAGAAAACACGTGTAACCTTATATTGGATCCGGGCAGCTCTTAAAGTGACAGCAGTCATTCATGTTAATCAAACAACAAAAGAGAGAAAATCTCTCACTGCTCTTGACAAAATCGCTTTTGTAACTTGAATTATGACAAGAATGCTATGATATTGCTATGGTATCAAAAACTGTGATATCATGACCTTATTTAAAGCAAAAATAACTATATTGTGAAATATATCGTTATCGTGAAATAAAATTACTCGTATCGTGATAACATGTTGGTCATATCGCCCATCCCTACTACAAACATATACACACCTGTTTATGTGGTGGGCGATGCTTCGTTTCTGGACTGTCCCCCTTAGAGGAGGAGCTCTGCTGTCGAAGCCGTGCACCATTTCCAGGCCAGTCGGGTGATGATGACATCACAGTGTTATTAGGAGGCCGTGGGTAGGGGGTGGAGTTCAATAGGTTGGGTGGAGTTCGTCCTCTGGGCGCAGTCTGTGTGGGTGGTGGTGGCTGGTCAATCCGCCGTTGAGGACCAGCGCTGCTCTGTCGTGGAACCGTAGGCTGGTTTCCATGCTGCGCATCAGTTAGCGATAGCTGTCGTCTCGAGAAATCTCCCGAACGCCTTGCAAACTCCTCCCCCACCAAAGCCCCCTGGGTAAGGAACGTGTGTTTGGTTCCTCCAAGACCCTCCTCGTTGTTGCTATGGGAACTGACGGAGCTGTGACACTCCGACCCAGAATCCCCACTCGCATTCGCTCTAGCTGACACGGGCAAACCTGCTGCCATCTGGTACACTGGATTCTGAAAGGATAGCGGGGCCAAAAGCTGTGTAGGCCTGCCTGGGGCCCCTTCTGCTCCTGGGGTAGTGGGAGTCTGTCCTGGCCTGTGAAGAGTAGGGCCTCCAGCAACATTGCCTTGGGGAGTCCGTGTATTCCAGGGAATCATGGCACCCTCACCTAAACCTTCTGAAGTGATCCCTACCGGGATGGCGATAGGTTCTAACGCCCTGGCCGCTTCCTGCAGGTCTACCATGGACAGGCTCTTGCCACCATTGGCCAGGCCCAGCTCGGGTTCGTTGGCCTCGGAGTAGCTAGAGCTGCGGGCAGGGGAGCCCTGGAGGCCAGAAGAGCGTGTAACGAAGAAGATGTCTTTGTTTTCAGGGGTGGGGGAAGGAAGGCGAGTGAAGTCCATTGGGCTAGTAAAACGAAGAGATAGGGACAAAGACCAGAAAGAGAAAAGTGTAAATCATTAAAGCACAGTATCGGAGAACAGTACACAAATAGCTCTGTTCAAAATCTTGCTCTTTAATTTTTTTATAAAAAAAAAAAAAAGCATTTTAAATACATTTAACCCTTAAATGCATCGATGTTTCACCAATCATTATTACATATTTGGGTCTTTAGCGACCCGGACCTACATATCCAACACAGATGGATCTCTAACTGCTGCAATAGCATAAAACTCTCATGATATTTTAATATCAATTACAAAAGAATAAAATAAAGCATATTTCGTTACCTTTTGAAACTTAGAAAGGTTCAATATGAGCATACGAGTTATCGTCAGAGCACATTTTCCCAGTATATTCAGCATCTGGCTCATATTCGTGATCTTAACCATATTCTTAAAACTATAATTTTCAATGACTTCAAAATCAATATTTTGCCATTCAAACTAGTTCAATATTCTTTTGTTTTATGCCCGTGGTAATTATGAGTGAAACATCACGTCATCATTGTCTATCAAACAGTACCACCTTGAGGAATAAAGGTGAATTTAACTCACTGAATCATCATATTTGTAATTACTGTTGCGCAGGAAAAATATACTTACACAACTCGGGTCGCTAGCGACATTATTTTATATTTTATTATTTTTTCTTTTTGTATTGCTTATAATGAATAGATTGAGGAATTCTAAGAAAGTTGATGTTTAAAAAATGAAGGAGGGAGAGGGTAGTGAATGATGTCCCGGGTTGCTAAAGACCCAATATATGCATTTAAGGGTTAAAATACTATTATCCAAGGTGCAACCTTGTTTAGATTTTCTTTTTGCTAATGTTGGAAGTTCCTGGTAGGAGGACATCATTTATGAACCATGACCTGCCAAACTGACTAGTTAGTTGATTTGTGGTAACAAACCCTGGTTATCATGTTGCTAAGATAACACCTTTTTTACTCTAACAAGCACAAAATAGCCAGCACACACAAATAAAAATGACTATATTTAAGTATTGTTGACTAACATTATTTTGTACATTTTGTGAGCTTAGTCTGTCGATTTTATACTGAGCCTATAGCAACACATTCTGAGATTTCCGCATCCACAAAGGATGCCATGCGATGCCGTCCAAGATGTTATCTTAGGAGTCAGCATAATTTTGCTGCTGACCTTTTGGAACAGCATCGGGAATACACCTGATGTCTTAAAATGCTGCCTACCTACTGTAGGCAGCTCACTAGGATTTGAAACAGAGCTATAATCTATAAACGTGGTAACACTTTAGTACAGGGACCGATTCTCACTATTAACTAGTTGCTTATTAGCATGCCTATTACTAACATATTGGCTGTTTATTAAACATTTATTCTACATGACCATATTCTACATCCCTAATCCTACCCAATACCTAAACTTAACAACTACCTTACTAACTATTAATAAGCAGCAAATAAGGAGATTATTGAGGCAAAAGTCATAGTTAATGGATTGTTAATAGCGAGAATTGTACCTTAAAATAAAGTGTGACCAAACATGCCAGATTCTCATAATACACGAGTTAGTGTTTGAGAAACAAAACTTTCATAACCCACAAGTCTTTCTCAAACACGCATAAATGCCATGCTAGACAGTTCCAGACAGGTATAAAGCATCAGAGAGAATGCAAAGTTATTATGCGTCTTTTTCCGTCTTTACTTCTACCCAGACATTGTCTGGATATCTGGAAAACAATGCTAATTTATTTCATCATAATCTCCGTCCAGACACCAACCAACAAGCTTCACTCGATTCTTTCTCCTTGCAGCCTCCATCTCTTTTGATCCCCCAGTATATTTATTTCCCCTTCCCTCAATGTGTGTGTGTGTGTGTGTGTGTGTGTGTGTGTGTGTGAGAACTACAATTACAGGCCTCTCATTCTCTCTGGCTCTCATAAATGTCGGTAGGGAATTAGCAGCGAGCTAGACAGATAAAGATGAGCCACTCTCTTTAAAAGAGCAGTCTGCTGGATAAAGTAAGGGCACAGTCTTAAGAACAGAAACGGGGACAGTCTTTTGGCTGAAAGTGACAGATAACGATGAATATACGTAAGCAATATAGCTGTACTTCACAACTACTACTACTGTCACTGCCTGAAATAACAATGAGCTTGAAGCTGATTTGTCAGAATGCCTATTCATCATGAAATCTACAGCATGCTTTTTGCACAGCCGTGTACAATTATGGACATACTTGATTCTGATTGGTTACATTTTAACACATTTGATGTGGTGGATCTGATTCGTGGCTCACCCTGGTAGGTCACTGTCGATGGCCATCTTTTGTAATCCACTGGAGATGCTGCATCCAGGGGCTGGAGGGGATGGCACACGATCAGGAAGAACACTCATTTGTACGTTTGATGGGTTTGTTAACGCTCCATGTACGTCCCTCAGTATTCTAGGTAATGGGCCAAGCTTGGAGGTAGCACTCTGAGGACATCAATGAAAGATTTCATTGAAAATTAACACATACCCCAAAGATCTCTTATATTTGTGCAGGACTCCCTAATAGCCCCCTGAGAACAGAGGTAGAAGACAACAGAACATCAATGACTGTGTGGAAATGACATCCTTAGGTGAACTGGGAGAGCATGGCTCTAGCAATGGGTCACAGGGTTGATTCCCTAGGAACACGGTTACTGATAAACTGTAAGCTGTTTTGAATTAAAAATAAATAAATAAATCCAATTACCTCCTAAAACGCTACAGTATATTAGTGATATACCGATATACCCACCAGGCAGATTAATCCACCAATATTTAGCCATAACTCACAGCTGTGTCTGCCGACTGATTTATAAAAGCCTGAACTGCAAACGTCCTGTTTTATGTATTTTCAAGAGTGAATTTTAAGTAATAGTTGTGAAAAATGAAACTTAATTAATGACATATTTTTTTACACCTCAAATATGCACTGTTGTTAAAACTTCAAAACTGGGATCAGTAATATTTAATTAATACATGCATTCAATTTATCAAATATGAAAGCAGACTTCTATGTCTATTTCAAATAAATGCCACTCTTTTGAACTTTCTATTAAACCAAAGAATGCTTTTTTTTTTGTGTGACACTGAAGATTAGAGAAATTCAGTGGTGCCATCACAGGAATAAATTACATTTTAAAATATTTAAAATAAAAAATAGTTACTTTAAATTGTAAAAAATAACCCACAAGATAACTGTTTTATTGTATTTTTGATCAAATAAATGCAGCCTTGGGGAGCATAAGAGACTTCCTTCAAAAACTCTCTGATCTTTTCCAAAAGCATTTAATAATTGAACAGGCAAGACCTAGATAAGTTCAAATTTGACTTGTTTACATTTTTTATAATTGGCTGATTCTGTGACATTCTGGTTGGCTGAATCTCTCTGGCTTTAAAAGAATTATGTTTCATAATCACAACATGTTAATGGATGTATGGCTACAAATTATTAGTGAAATATCAATTAAAAGTTCTTATAACTGTGTCTGACCACTATATGACCACTATCAGTTTGTGGCAGCCTTAGGGACTAATGGACTTCCCATAGAACTCAAACACTGAGAGGACATGAGCTTTCAGAGCATGTCCACCTAATGTGATCTAAATAATTCAACAAAGTGCTGCTATGAGTATATTCCAGATTCACAAATTTAATTAGCAATCAATGCTTGTATAGTTGCAGGCAGTGTCTGTGGTGTACCGGCATACAGGCACAGGCTGCAGATAAATGCATCTCTGCTTAAACAATTTTGCATGACTGGAAGTTTTCTCTTAGTGTGGAAAATCTGGGCAAATACAACAGCTAGGCTATATTTAGCATTCGAGGAAGAGGAGGATTAGAAGATAATTTCTTCCAAAAATATGTATAAAATAAGATATAAAGAAACAAACACATGGGGAACATATCTTATACGGTCTGAACATTAAAAGCAACAAAATTAAGGATTTTAAAGTCTGACTGTTACAGCCTGAAGGCAATTGCTTACATCAGTCCACCTACTCAAAGAACACAGAAAACTGGAGCACAACTTTAGAACCTTCTGTGGCATCAAAGTGATGAACTGCCTTGTCACAATGCTATCCTGAATTCACCTGCAGCAAACACTGCACTGAAGACATGGCGAAATCTGAATGTCTGACCATCAGTGAATAAATGATCATGCCAAAAGTTTATTTTCAATCAGTATTTTAACCTGTTTTTCTGAAAAAAATCTAATAATTATTAATAGTATACATATTTTTATTACATATATTGTATATATATGTATGTATATGTGTATATATATATATATATATATATATAGAGAGAGAGAGAGAGAGAGAGAAAGTTAGATATAGATACACTGTATGCTTAAAATTATAGTTTTTTTTTGTTTCCAATGCAAAAACAAAATTGTAGAATATATTCTGTTTTTTTTCTCCTTCCAAAATATTGATTAGAAAACAATTTTTGCAGTATGTATGCATGTATGAACAGCACAATGCATTCCTTCTGAAAATCTTTACACTACAAATACAATCAAATGGAACCAACTGCAGAGTCAAGAGACTAACCTGGTCCATTTGCGACACCACCTCAGCTAGAAGGGAGTGCAAGGTGGAGAGCTCACGGCCCAGGTCAATATAGCCCTCGAAGCCTGCAGTATTTGAGATGGTCTCTGGGTTAGAGATCTCCAGTAGGAAGCGCTGCATGTTGGTCCACTCCTGCTCCAAGAACTGATTCATGAAGGACATGTACTCCTCCTTATTGCCAAACCTGACAAAAAAGCAAGAATAAGAACGACTCGTTGATGCGTTTAATAACTCAATTAACCATGCTAATGATTCTATAATCATAATTATATCTATAAGCTTCATTTCATTCTTATTAATAGTATTTGTGCTCATAACAACATGACAAGCTATCAAACTGAGGCATTTCGAAACTCATTCGTCAGCTCCATTGTGAAACATTAAAGCACTCTCTCCCTGCTCAAACACACACACTCACACCAGAGTAAATGAAATCCTTACTTGGTGAAGTTTGCGAGGTTCTGTGTAACCTTGGCGATAAGAGTCAGTGTGCGTGCAGTGCGGTCGTCTGGGTACTCCTGGGTCAAGTTGAAGAGAGAAGGCGACATGATTGCCGGACACAGAAAACGCAAAAACAACGAGGCGCTGATAAGACGCTCGCTGATATCTGGTCGCCCTCGATTACCACATTCCTGTCTCCATGACGCAAACACCTCCTTAAGTTCCCGTGGAAACACACTGTTGAGGAGTGGAGAGTTGAACACAGAATTTAGATGGGGAAAAAAACCCCTGACAAAACTGCAAACAGTTATTCCTACTAGTAAGTAGTTTCACAAAATTCACAAACTACTTATTATCCTTTTGCAAACAACTGAGGGGGGGGGGAAACTTTCAAATATCCTTTAGTGTTAGATCTCAGTGATTAAACTTTTATTTCACTTCTAAAACTGAAAATTTCGCTGTGTTGTGGTTTGTTTCCATTGTGTTGTGCTAATTTCGCTGTTTTATGACTTGTTTCCATTGTGTTGCGGCTTATTTCCATTGTGTGGTGCTAATTTCACTGTGTTGTGGCTTGTTTCTGTTGTGTTGTGGCTTGTTTCCGTTTGTGATATGCTAATTTCGTTGAGCTACGACTTGTTTCCATTGTGTTATGACTTGTTTCCATTGTGTTGCGTCTTGTTTCCATTGTGTTGTGCTAATTTTGTTGTGTTGTGGCTTGTTTCCGTTGCCTTGTGCTAATTTTGCTGTTTTATGACTTTTTTTCTATTGTGTTGCGGCTTATTTCCATTGTGTGGTGCTAATTCCCCTGTGTTGTGGCTTGTTTCTGTTGTGTTGCGACTTGTTTCCGTTGTGTTGCAGATAGTTTCTGTTGTGTTGTGGCTTGTTTCCGTTTGTGTTGCGTTAATTTCGTTGTGCTACGACTTGTTTCCATTGTGTTGTGGCTTGTTTCCGTTGTGTTGTGCTAATTCCGTTGTGTTGCGGCTTGTTTCCATTTTGTTGTGCTAATTTCATTGTGTTTTGGCTTGTTTCCATTGTGTTGTGCTAATTCCGTTATGTTGCGACTTGTTTCCATTGTGTTGTGCTAATTTCATTGTGTTGTGGCTTGTTTCCGTTGTGTTGTGCTAATTTCATTGTGTTGCGGCTTGTTTCCATTGTGTTTTGGCTTGTTTCCGTTGTGCTGTGCTAATTTTGTTGTGTTGCGGAGATTCCATTGTGTTGTGGAGATTTTGTTGTGTTGTGCATTATTGGGTCACCGTAGAAATGTAATATATAACACTCACAAACAAATCACTCTGATCATCAGTCTGTGTATAATACTAATATTATTATTATTAGTAGTAGTAGTAGTAGTAGTAGTAGTAGTAGTAGTAGTAGTATAGCTTAACTCCCCTGCTTCATTTTATACCTCTATACTCATATTATATATTGTCTATTTAGTTTTATTTTAAGAGAAACACCTGAGACAACGTTGATAACTGAAATAAGCAGCTATGAAACATCTGAGCAATAAAATGCACCACTGGTTCACATCAACAGACAGCTGTGAAGGGCACACTGTAGTTACCGGTAAGACTCAATAATCTTGCAGAAAGCCAGCTCACAGCACATCCTGAGGTTGCTCTTATGTTCAGCTAGATCGCTAGATGAACATTTGGATGGGTCCACCTCACAGTTCTCATCAGACTCATACAGAGCCTTTATAAACTCACCTACAGTGGAAGAAAGAGAAAATACATTAAAGACCCTGGAGTTTTTAAATTCATCCTGTGTAAAGTCTAGTTGTTTCAACATAAATAGCATTTTTCAAGGAATGGTGTCATCTATCGATTAATCTTGACATTATTCTGTATTTGGCACAAGAACGCTTGCATTCCTAAATGTCAGCAAGGCAACCTGCCATACAACCCCCCGCCATCTTTCATTCAAACAAACTTTCTCACAAATATTAGCAAGAATGAAAATCGGCACCCCAGAGCTCATCCCCATTCTAATTCCATTCTACTATGAGGCAACCAATGAAAGTTCTTTAGTTATCTGACTCGGAACTAATGAGAGAAGCTGTCCTGGGAATATACAACAAACTTTTTGTTGATCCCAAACAAACAGCACAGCCAGATCCCTCTCCACAGAGACTCAGAACAGGTACTGGTCGATTTTTCCCCCTCAGGTCTATTGCGCAAGAAAGCATCAGGGAAAAATATAACTAGTGTAGCATAAATCATGTGGACGTCCAACTGATCTAGAATGGAAGTGGACTCCTCGTTCTTCATCTTCCTGTTAGAGACTAAAGAGACACTCAGTGGCCACATTATTATATGGCTTCAGATCAATAGAAAAAATACACTGCTGTTCAATAAGATTTTGCAATGTTTTTGAAAGAAGTCTCTTATGCTCAGCAAGGCTGCATTTATTTAACCAGTTATACTGTATACTGTCGAAAAGTTTTTCCCCCTGCTGTACCGAAACTATACCGAACCGTGATGTCAAAACCGAGGTACGTGTCGAACCGTCATGTTTGTGTGCCATTACACCCCAAATACAATGTAAAACAAAAGAAGTTTGAAAACTCATTCAAGGCTACAAATACAAAACGAATCGCTCAAATAACCAGTATGTTGGGCTGCAGTAGTGTCAAAAGTCCACACACAAACTCTTAGCGATTAGTATGATTACCGAAGTACTCATCAAGAAAACACGGGACTTAACTTGCATTCACAGCATTTTTCATCAATCAAAATAATAACCATAACACCAAAAGATCCTTATTTTTAATTTCATGATTGGTTAAGCCATCGTTTTTAGTGGTAACCCGTGATCCAATCTGAAAATGAGATTTGTTTTTAAGTCAAACAACTGAACAATAATACACTGAAAAAAAAAACCGTAAGTTTTTTCCCAAGTACTCTATCTGTTGCTTTCGAGTAGATGTAGTATTAACTAGAGTAAATGAAATGACCAGGTTCGTCTCTCGTGCATATATGCTGTTTATGTAACCATGTGGTGAAATCCACTCTCTTTACTGTTGCTCTCTTGCTATGATGTCTGAGGGACATTTAATAATTTAGCAGCACTTCACAAGTCACATTTATCTAAGAAAAACAACTATACATTATTCAGCACCAACAAATGGCTTCCTAAAGCAAATCTAATGAGAGATTCACTCTCTTTGGTGTACTCATTCACATTCACATCTACACTCATTAGATTCCCCAAAGTCGATATTTATATACGGTGTGAAATTTGCAGCATGTATTTTGGTTCTGCAGATAAATTGCTAGTCCAGCGATTTACACATTTTATTCCTAAAATACAGTGGTATTAATAAACACAAGCCTTATCAGGCCTTACAGAGTAAGCCAACAGTGAATGTGGTGGCCGGATATGTGTGTGCATGTTTGTTTGTGTGTGTTTTCACAGCTGTTTAATCTCATCTAAAATGAATACAGGCAACTTAGCACAAAATAACATTTGGAAATATTTCTAATGTTTGTGAAGGACAGAAAGTTTGCTCTGATAAAGTGTCTCCTATTTCAAGTCTGCAGACTGAACACCAGTACATAATATTCTGTTACACCAAATACACCAAATAATGATCTTTAAAAAAGCATCATATGACCCCTTTAAAATAATTATTTTGACGGTCCTGTCACTTGGCAACTTGGACATAACAAATAGTAGTACAGACATTTTCAGAAAATAAAGTTGTTGTTTTTTTGCACACACACACAAAGATCTTACCCAGTGCATCTTGCAGATACTTCTGTCCGACCAGTTTGAGGTACTCCTCGATAGCTTTAGTGCCCAGCGTGTTCTCTCTGAAGATCAGGTGCTCATTCTCCCCGCATCGATCCACCTCCAACATCATCAGATCTGTCAGGAAGTCCTATAACAAAAACACACAATCCAAAAAAAAAAACATTTTGATATGTGAGCAATATTAGTTTAAAAAACGAAAGAGAGCAGAGTAGATGGAGCGATTGTATGGAGGGTCTGTCATTGTAATCGAAGTGCTTGTGCTGCTGATGACTGTCAGGACATGAAAGAAAAGAAAGAGACAAGGAAAGAGAGATGCTAGTGCTGAAGTGAAAGCTGCTCCGATCAAAGCGATCTGGCAGGGAGCCTATCAAAACCAGCAAATGGGAGTTAGACAGAAAAATCAGTCTACTCGCTGTTGACGTGCGCACACACACACAGTCCAGAGTTCAGCCCAGTGTCCCAAATACAATTCAGAGTGTCTTTGTGTGTGTGTGTGTCTCAATCTCTATTTACAGCGGTGAGTCATGATTACATGAGCAGCAAAACTATTTTCTTTTCAACAGTAATAATGAGAAGAAAGGATTCTTGAGAACCAAATCTGCATATTAGAATGGTTTCTGAAGGATCATGTGACACTGAAGACTGGAATAATGGCTGATGAAAAATCAGATTTATCATCATTGGAATAAATGTATTTAAAAATATATTAAAGTAGAAAATAGTTATTTTCATTCACTTTTAATGATTAATAATAATATTACCGCTTTTACTGTATTTTTTATCAAATAAATGCAGCCTTGGTAAGCAGCCTTTTTTTCTTTTCTTTTTTTTTGATGACCTTCCATTCATAGTAAATGTGGATATTTATTTGGCCACCAATGTTTAGAATTTCAGCACTGGGTATTATTTTATGACATCGCTGAAAAGAGAGAATGTTTCAGCTTAGAGGAATCCAAAAAACGTGTTGACTCCAGATAATAAGGTATTATGTAAGTCAAAACAAAAGCATTTGTTTGGGATACAGGAGAAAAGGAGTGTGGGTAGTGTGGCTGTAGACCTCAGAGCTTAAAAATCCTTCATGAGCGCCGATGCCATGGTAACTGGTATATTTACTGGAATATTTACAGGTTTTCCATGATTGTGGTAACCCTTATTTTAAAGTAGTGGCTCTACCATCATGCTTGTCCACCTGTCCTCATCTTCAAACAACTTTTACCTTATTTTACAATCATAAGTTTATCTATAAAAAGTTTATTTTAAAAAAGTTTATATTTATTTATTTTTTAAATGAGGTGCCATTTTACAGATTATGCATATAGAATGCTGCAATTGACAGCTAAATAATCTCACTCTCCAAAAAAAATGTATAAATAAAAATTAAAATAAAATAATAAAAATAATAGGGTAAGAAATATTTATGCCTTAATTTTCACCAATGACAGGTGTTGCCAAAAAATTAATTTTGGATGCTGCATACAAACAAACCTCAGTATTCAAGCATTTCCACATTTTAATAATTACAGGTATAATAACTGTCAAGTTGTAAAAGGTATGATCAGCAGAGTGAGGGAAAAAAACTCTCAGAACCATTAAAATAAGAGACTAGTCACACATAAGCCTTGAGATTCTCCCCTTACACGCACACACAGTAGTGGGAACTATTAAGAAAAGGCCAAGAATATTGTCCATTACGGTCAGAGTTAATTAGCTAGACTATAGCTCACCCTTAATCAGAACGAGATGAGAGAGAAACACAGGAAACGATAGAGACGAGAGAGAGCGAGAAGATATTAAGCACAGTAAGACACAAATATAAATCTAAAATGGAAAGGAAAGCAGAAAAATAAAAATAAAACGGGTGCGTAAAAATAGCGGGTGCACAGGAAAGCAAAGCCATTGCACAGGGGAACAGAGGAAAACAGAAAGATACGTACTGTAGCACACAGAAAAAAATGATAAAGCGAGGATGGAGGGATTAAAAAGAAGAGATAAAATCCCTCAGGTCTCACTGCATTCCCTGGAAGCAAAAACTCATAAAGAAGGAAGCATCTGACCGAGACAGCAGTTTGTGTGCTCAGCTGAGGGACAGAGAAAGAGACTTGCCTACTACACTGTCTGGACCAAACGTCCCCACAAGGATAGTAAAACCTGAAATCACCTACATTGTGTGAAGCAGCCAATGGCCCCCAGTTGGAAAACTTAAGCTTAATAAACATACTGTATTAAATAATGTTTTAATTAAAACGTAAAAATGCAGAAGGTTTTGTGTCAGGGTTAAGTTCAGGGTTAGAAAATATCATAAGCTCTGAATAAAGACTGAAATAGATAGATAGATAGATAGATAGATAGATAGATAGATAGATATGTATATGTATGTATATGTTTGTGTATGTGTGTCAGCACAGCTGAATGAGACTTGCTATCAAAGGCCCTTAAATAAAACTTAAGGTTACTAAGACTATAGCACACACACACAC